GAGCATTGTGAATATCGCAAATCCATTATCGAGACAAGTCGCCTCCTAACTGAATTTGAACCATAGCATATTGCCTTTTTTAATGATATTTGTGAAAAAAATTATCGTCGATGAGTACACCGAAGAACCTGAACATCACTCAAAGAATGACATATATGAAGAATAATGTAGGTTCTAACTTCTACGGAAGGAAGATGTCCTCGACCTGTGACCTGTTCATGACGGGGATGATATGTCTGCCATGATCCCGGTCCATGATGACGCCGACATGCAATTTGATGCTCAGACAACATTATTTGCTTTTATATTGCACATTTGTTAATTGCGCTTACTTTCTATCAACTTTTTCACTCCTTAATTCCGCTCATTCGTTTCATTGACTGTTTTCAAATTTGCATCTGTTTCTGTTGTATTGTTTATGTTTTGTTACCTTCCCGATCAAACCGATGGTTTATTTCAAACTTGAAGTTAAGAATGTTTATCTTGTAGTCGAAGTGATGAATACCTCCGTTATGATACAAAATATTCGTTGCTTAATTGTTAAGCTTCATACGTTAATTTTTTCATACAACTTCCATGAGCTTCAACGCTTATACTTTTGATGACAATTTTCGTGACTTTTTGAACATCTCGTATATTTTCCACTGTGGACATCTATTCCTCATATCTATAGGCATATAATTGACTCCTAGTGTATTACAATCAATTGATAGTAGTGTTTGTCCAAAAATGATATAGTGAGCCGATTCATTTTCGTGTAAGAAAAAATGATAAAATTTAATATGTGTTGCTGCTGACTATCGATCTTACTGCACATCACCATCATTTTATAATCGTATATCCTTACTGGCGCGACCATTTCACAGATCGTTTCGTTTTTACCGATATAACGTTTCGTTCTTACTGCTCGTCCATTAACTACCTTGCATTTACACTTTTATGTATTTGTAATTACGGCTGTATCTTTTGTAATTTATAATTGTTAATCTCAGTCTGCATCACATAACTATAACATTGCTATCTCCTCTCCAGGGGTCTGCATTGTGTGTTATGGCAGCAAGTTCTTTCAGCAGTTTCAAACCATATCTGAACGTCAAATATATTGTTAGTTAACCGTATAAATCAAAACAGTCATCTCATGATGAAACATTTTTGGTATCCGAAGAACCGTTGAACTACAGCTTTGGGCTGCGGTCGTAATTGGACGAGGTGTTGCCGCTACTATACAACAAACGGCAGAAGGTCGGTGTCATAGAAACTGCCTTTGATATTCAACCTGCGTAGCATGGCGAACACGTTCGGAGTTTTTTCGAACGTCCGAACGTGTTCGGCCGTTCGCCCGTTCGAGGCGCGAACAAGTTCGCACGAACGACTTTCGGAGGCCGGCGAACGCATTCGTCGCCGGGCGGAACCGGGCCCGGTAGGGCGCCCAGGGGGCCTTGTTGGGGTTGGGGATTGGTTGGCGGGGTTGGGCGGGCGCTGGGAGCATCTGCGTGGCGGGAGGGGTCAACCTGGGCCCGCTCGTTCGAATTCGAACGCGCATACGGGCATCGCCAACGACCCCGCCAGTCACCCGCCCACGGAGCCGTTGTCGTCGTCGTCTCCATGGCCGCCCAGGTGAGAAACCACGTCGCCTCTTCCTCCTCCCCCTCCTTCTTCTCCTCCTCCTCCTCCTCCTCCTCCTCCTCCTCCTCCTC